CAAATGTTTCAGCTAATCAAAGAGGGGAACTTTAGCTTTGAGAAGAAAGAAAAACAAGGGCATGTCAAGGCCTAAACCAAAGATGTATGTAAAATAATCTGAGCAGCTTGATTAGCCAGAGTGAGATTAGAAGTTGCATTATTGGCCTTTAAACATATGGTGTAGCATATTATATATCACCTATAATCTCTACTGCAGCAGGAGTACGGACAGCTTGTTTTCCACTAACTGTAAATAGAAATTATTTTAATCTTTCCTAAAATGTTTACATGTAATTGGAGGAGTGTCTAATAATAAAAAAGCTGTAAAGATAAAGTTCTATAAACTAGAATTACATAACAAAGCACACTCTAGTATATTAAATTGATTAAAATGTAGATAGGTTGATAATAATAAATTAAATTCAACTGTAAACAGGGAAAACAGGAGTCCTGAACAAAATAGTTATATCTTTGTTACTTTGTTATTTTTCCTGTTGCATGTTTCCTAGGGTTTCTCTGTTGATAAACTTTAGTAATTTGTATCAAGATTTATGTTTTCAGAAGCATGTAACCTTATCTAAACTGCGTTCAACTGGTCAGTATATATTGTCAGTGGCATGATTATGTATACCTGTTCCCTAGTTATGAACAGCTTACAAATACCACTCAGTTTATTCTCAGCTCTTTTTAATATCATAGAAGCAGGAAGATTCAAAAGGTTATTATTATGGTAGATACTCTACACGTATACCAAAGTATGAAGAGAAGGAATGCAGTAGTTTAATCTTTTAAAATTATTCTTTCCTGCTGAAAAGCTGGATCCTGTACTGTGTGTAGTTTCACACCTACATTTATTTTTCAAAGGAGGATCCTACAGAATGGTTCTCCATTAAACATTTAATTACACATCTTTCAATAAGCCAGAGAGACTTGTCTTATGGAACAGTTCCATTCTCAGATCTGTCACTTAAAATATGATGTGATTTTGGATTAATTACTTAAAGGTGGTGGCTTGTTTCCTCTGTCTGTAACAAAGAAATAATTCCTACCTACCTTAAACCAGCTCTGAATATGACTAATATGTGTGATTTTGTGACTCTCCTCAAAATCACTAAAAACTAAGGGAAGGATTTGTTGCAGTTTTCATTCTCACTACCTGACTTTCAAAATAGAAGGAACTTGGAATAAAAATAGTGTGTCTTTTCTGGTTGTACGTGGTGAGATTGATCAACACTTCTTGAAAACATGTGTGCAGTTTTTTAAGGCTTCTGAAAAGGCAAAAGCTTATTGCAGGTGCAGGCTACCTATCCATTTGGCCATTAAGAAAATGATTTTATAGGTAACAAGTATATGTAAGTTTGTGTGATTCCTGTTATCGATTAGTTCATAGGAACAATAGATGAGTGTTTACCTGGCAAGCTTCTCTACAGCTCAAGCTGAATTTTTAATGTACAATAAAATAGTGGTGTTAAATGCACAGCCTTAATCTCCACTATTTCTCTATTAAATTGATCTGGGATAAACCCAGACTTTTTATTCTTCAAAGAAGTTCTGTTCTCATTTTTTTATTCATGTTCATCTATCTAATTTCCAATATCAATGTTTTCATTCCGAGGCATAGCTTTTCTTTAATTTGTATATTCACATGCAGAAATAAAGCAACAATTTACAGTTGTTCTTGCCTGAAGTGCCATTTAGATGCGTAAAAAAAAAATGTTCTTTAGATATCTGGAATTTTATTTAGCAACATTTGTAAACTAATCCAAAAAATGGGGGATAGCCTGCAACAAAAACAAGAGAAACTTCAAAATATGATGGACCTTCCATCTGGATCCATCAAGGGGCCAACAGATTTATGGGTTCTTCAGAGGCTGTCCCACCCATTGTGTTTTGTGGGGCTGCATACCGAGTCTTCTTCATGGCATTTAGGAGTTCAATGTCTTTGAGGATGCCAAGCAACAAATAGGTTGCAGTTATAAATCATATTTCACTTTGTCACTTTAGTTTTTCATGAGAGATTTAACCAAGAATTTTGGGGAGTTTGTGGCCTGCTCAAAGGAACAATCCTGTCTCTTCGCTGAGTCACTCTACCTGAACTGATTCTAGATACATTGAGAGATTTCTGTGAAAAAGAGTCAGAGATTGCCTCTCTGCTACACTTTTGTAATATTAGATCAGAAATCTTGAAAAACACAGACATTAAAACAAAGAAATATACCGAATGCATATAATTGGCCATAAAATGGCAGGTTTCAGATAGTCTTCCAAGCCAGATAGCATAGTAGCACTATGCCAGTAAGAAATAAAGTACAGTCTGGTGTATCACTGAAGGCTGTGAAATGTACCAATTTATATTACCTAATGACAATTAGAGAAATCTCTTTGCTTAATGTGTTCTGCTGATGTAAATTTCAAGCAGTTTTCAAAATGCCTTGTCCTTTATCTGTGGGGAAGAATATATGTATCAGGTATGATACACACATATGTATCACTCAATAAAATTCTTATTTTCTACAATATTATCTACATAAATCTGTATTTTTAATAATGGCCTTGACTGCCAAGTTTTTTTCATGCTTCTGTCTATCATCCTGAAAAACAGGTATATTAGTTCTCTAGCTTATACAGTTGAACTGTTGAAAATTACAGGAAAAACAAATTTTGTCAGAAAAGGCATTAGAATATATTGCGAAGCAGGCGTGCCTCCATGTGTGAGAGCATGTACACAGTAAGGAAAATATAGAGCAGATACTACAAAAGCTAACAAATATATGCTTGGTGGAAGGGAATCTGTATTTCAGACTGAGGAATAGGGTACTCTTGTGGTACTATGAGTCTTGTTAAACACCTACAGGCTGGAGTCTTTAGCAGAGTATGGACAAATCGGTGCCAGTTACAGAGTTAGGAAGATTTTCACTCAGTTTAGATCAAAATATTCATATTTTGCTACATATTATAATAGTAAGCATGTTAGTGTTAGTAAAGTTCTTGCAGGGTTTAAAGGTTAAAGGTAATAGTTTAATTGTGAAAGCATCCATCTTCTTCTCTGCCTTCTCATATCTGTGTGACCTGTGGTTGAATAGCATCACTGAGATAAATTGTTACAAGACAAATTCAGATCTCAAGTAAACAGAGGAAATTCTTGGTGACTTCCTAGGAAATTGAATAGTGACTCTAGTCAGTGAATTTTATTCTTTGCTTGTGCATCCCAAAGTTGTAAAAACCTGTTTGTCTCGCCTTTAGTACTTGCTAAACTTAAAATAAAACATTATTGTATAGATATGTGGTGTTTCCAGTGCTATGAAACTAGATGTTACAAAGTGTAACAACCAAAATTAATCATATGACATTTAGGTGTCTACTCAAAGTGAGTCTGCACTCCATGGAGAGATGCAGGCACATTCACAGTGTGGCCTTAGTTCCATGTTAAAATAAATCCCTAAATTAAATCAGATATGCTTCGCTCAGGATTTCTTTATTCTGTTGATAATGGAGGAGTACAGGGATAGATGAGCTTAAATTCCTCCCCACAAGTTTCTGAGTGGAAATCTGGTTTCTCTTTTCCATTTGTATGTTAAAGTAAAACCTTCAGAATTTTTATTGTTAAAATTCATTTGATGTTTGCCAAAAGATTATCGGACTTTTTATTAAAGGCTGGTATGTTTACTTTCAGACTCTTAATTAGTCAAAGTTTTAAGACCATAGTTTATGCTGTGATGAATTCTGTGAAAAGTGGTATTCTGTGTAATATTATATGAGGTCATTTCTTCTAAAAGTAAATTTCAGTGGACTTGTGTTTCTTTTTTCCTCTGTTTCATTTATATAGTCTTTTGGGATAGATTCAAGTAATAGAAACATTAGAAGAGTTTTTCCTCCTAAAATTGGCTCATGATTGAATTTATTAATAATAATATTATTTTTGCTTATTTACAGACTGCAATGTCCCACAACATCTCACAAAGCAGTATTTATATGCCAGCTTGCTGTTATATACAGAAAAAACATTTGAATTTTGCTAGACAAGCGAGTGGCTGCTTTTTCATGGGTGGAAAGCCTGGCTTGCTGGCAGCTGTTTGACTGTGTCCTGGGTAGCTGGAGCAATGGTCTCACATTGTGTGCCTGCCATAGGCTCTTCCATAGGACTTTTCTCTCCTACATACACAATCAAACATACTTGCTGTGTCTTTCCCACTCATGTGTATATTCCTGGGGTGGTTGTGTGGCTGTTCATGCATTTGCAGACACTTGATCTCACTGTATAACAAGTGGAAAACAAAGCCATGTCCAAAACAGCATCTACACAAAAATTCCTTCTTAGAGTTTAGTGGAAAAACTAATAATCTAATGCCAAGGTTTCCAACTTTCACTTTTCAGTTAGGAATGCTGAGAACACGATTCTGTCTGCAGAGACCAGGTGACTGAGGTGGCAGTACTTGCTGTGTACTCTGATATGTCCATGACATTTTTATTCCTGTATAAATCAGACCTTCTTAAAAGACTAGCTGAGCAATAAATTTTTTCTTCTACTGAAGTGATTTATTATGCAAAACAATTTTTAGGCTAAGTTTCTTTATTGTGGAAAACATTTGCTGCTTAAAGATACTTATTTTGCCGTCTGCCTTAATCATATCCTTTGAAACAGTCTCAATAGATTTTTCTATTCGTAACATTATGACACTTGATAAGATGATTGATTATGAAGTGTTGAGAGCCCTGCCATGTGATCATTTATTTTTAAATACACATTTGTACTAGCCCATGCTTAAATTTCTTGCAGGAATATATAAGAGATGCGAAACATAAAGCTTGAGTCTGATCGAAACTGATGCCTCTGGAAATAGAGTGCCACAGCACTGTGGCCTTAAAATAACAGATTCTGACTGGAACTGGAACTTTACAGTGATAAATACTATGTAAAAAATTATGGTCCATCTTTGGTACAAAATAAAAAAGATGTATTGCTGTGGTGCAGGCAAAGTAAAACATGTTTGACGATGATATCTTTCTTTCCCTGTGCAG